TCTCCATCTGCTTTTTTAAACCACACAACTTCAGTCTCTGACCTTTTCCGTTGAAAGAATTCCAATTTCAATATTTTTGAATAATGTCATTTTAGTCATATTTCTAGTTGGAAAAGTTATATCCATACAGACAGTGAGTAAGTTGATTCCAGAGTAGGTAATTACAGTGTTGAAATATAGAACTATGAATAAAGTTATACATTTTGAAACTAGAAACATCACTAATATTAATAATGAAGAATGTTGATAATGGAAATAGTCATTCTGTCAACCAAAACGCTCATATCCTAGAGAGATTTGAAAATACATCTGAATATTTAACCTATATATGATTATGGATTGTAGGACTATTAGTTATTAAACTGTTATTATCCATTTTAAAATTTACTGAAATGATATTACGAGATTTTCACTGCCTGCCATGGATAGGTCAAAAATTGTCACATTACTTGTAAATGGATAATATTGGGATTTCACAAAGGTTACTTGATGAATTTTCGGAATAAACTGCCAATAGATACCTAATTATTTAAATATAATAACATATCTACAGTTACTAAACTGCAGTAAATGTATTTAAGGTTATAAACATATCCATGAAATATTTTAATATTTCACTTTTTCTTTCACAAAACTACAATGAAATAATCCATATTAAAGTTACTTTCATTAAACATTTTAATGGTTTTAGTTTACACAGTGAATTCATGTAGCCTACTTATTATTGAGTTTATTTATTTTTTTTAAACCTCGAACTATTCGGGGGTGGGGGGGGGGAGCGAAACGATATTTTGGCCCCCTCAACATTTTTATTGAGGAGCGATCGCCTCCCTCTCTCACCCGGTCGTCTGCGCCTACGGACATATCATCTAATTTTATATTGTGAAGAAATAAAAAATCTGTTTGGCGTTATAATTTTTTTAGTTTTTCCCTATTTCCTGAAAATTCTATTTAATTAACAACTTAGAATGTGGCATTGCATAGTATATACGTGAAAGTAATTTTACTATGTATTTATCATTATGATGCTAAATGTAAGTAATTTGTTTATTACAAGTAGTAATAATTTTTTTTAGCATTATTTATTTACGATATTTACAACTGTATTAAGAGGGGCAGTATAGGACTCTGTGTTGGGCCGACGAAAAAAGAAAATAACTGTATTAAGAAAAAATACATTCAGTAAAGGTGATAACAGAAAATAATAACATGAAAGCACTTGTTGAGAAACTATCCACTGGTAGCACTCTAAAAAAAGTGTATTTACGAAAGGAGATTATCTTATTTTCAGACGCCTAGGATGGTTATCAGGGTTCGAGGAGGAAGCAAGGTTAGAAACGAGAGGGTTCGGATGGTTCTGAAGTTTATTATGGAAGGATAGGTATCTTGACTGGACTAAATCGGTAATATAAGAAACATTAAGGTCGTTATGGATGTTTTTATTATTGACAAAGTAAGGAGCATTGAGGATTTCAGGAAGTATTTTGGATTGTAAGAATTGGATACGAGAGGAATTTGAGCCCCGAATCTCAACTCCGTAAGTCCAAATAGGTCTTATTGTAATCATGTTTATGAGTCTTTTGTAATTGACTGGAAGCTTAGAGCGTGTGTCTGGAGACACAAGCAGACGATATTGAGCCTCTCGACTCCGAGAAGGTTGATGAAGCCATTGAAAACCTAAAAAACAAGGCTCTCGGCGCAGATGGCTTACTTGCAGAGATCATCAAGTGTGGTAGCCAAAAGCTAACCAAAGTCCCGCACCAAATAATCCTAGGAATTTGGAAGAGAAAAGAATCCCATCGTACTGGTATAAAAACCATAATCTACCCAATACACAAAAAGGTTTATATTGTAATATAACACTTCAAACTCAAAATCCCACTAATATTTTTTTTTTCATTTTTTATGCTGTTTTCATTAATATATGTAGTTATATTGGGGTATTCAAAGAGAGATTTTACCTACCATAATATTTTTCTATATCGATTAGCACACCATTATGTATCACGAAAAACGTTATTTGATTTATATTATAATAAATCTCTTACGAATCAAAATTCCATAAATATTATTACATAATTTGCTAGAAAATTTCAGGCTATTTTCAATGATATATGGTTACGTTAGAATATTTGGAGAGAGCTTATAGCAATTTTCTCTTGTATATATGACTGATAAAATTAAATTTTAATAAATGTATTAGGTTTATATTTTAATATAACACTTCAAACTCAAAATCCCACTAATATTAATTTTCATTATTTATGCTGTTTTCATTAATATATAGTTGTATTGGGGTATTCAAAGGGAGGTTTTACCTACCATAATATTTTTCGACACTGATTAGCACACCATTATGTGTGCTAATATTAATCTTATTTCATTTACATTATAATTAATCTCTCATGACTCAAAATTCCATAAATATTATTACATAATATGCTTGAAAAGTCCATGCTCTTTTCAGTGATATATGGTTATATTAGTTCTTGGATGTGGGAATTACCGAGGGGTTTCTCTTTTGTCATGCATCTACAAAATCGCAATTCAAAAGATACCTCAGCAGGACTTATTAAACAAAGAAGAAGAACTGGTGGTATGGATCATTTCTTTTTCTTTTTGAGGTCAAAAATAATTTCAGTTGGTCCAGAAGGATGCATAAATAGGATGTCATAATCACCTTCTTCTCCATTTATATTTAGGACCATTCCGATCCACCAATTGTTTTCATGAATATAGGCCACGAATATTTTCCAATTTTCATTAAGATCTGAGAGGGTCGGTTACGGACCCTGGATGATTTGGCATGGAATGACCCCACTTTTATATTACAACAACAAACAATTCTATTTATTTATTTCTTATGTTAATTTCTAACACATTAGTATCAAATCATTTTTGTTGTGGAGCATCATCGGAATAATTTTTAAATTTAAATTAGTTAGTATCCTAGATCCTATCCTTTATAGAGTTTATACAGGTGACATCCTAACACAGTCAACACCACGTATGCCGATGATGTGTCCTATCAGTTAATAATGACCCAAAAATTGCATCCTAAACTCTCTAATTACACATCACAAATCTTGAAGAATGATGTCAAAATTGGAGGGTTCAAATAAATTTCAATAAATCTCGTCAAATCACCTTAATGCTTCATCGTAAACCTACGACTTCCTGTCCTACAGTACCCTGACTCCTCGTGGGTTGTAGCGCCATTAAATAATAATAATGATTAGAGCGTTTGTCTAGTAAGTACTGGAGTAGTCGGAAACGTCGAGCGGCTTCTTGTCGTTTAAGTCTGGTATGAGGATTCCAAGTTAGACGTTTGTCCAAGTGGAGTCCAAGGTATCGGATTTGTTTAACAGGAATAAGCGGGATATTATTATAGGATGCCGTAGGACAGGAAGTCGTAGGTTTACGATGAAGCATTAAGGTGATTTGACGAGATTTATTGAAATTTATTTGAACCCTCCAATTTTGACATCATTCTTCAAGGTTTGTGATGTGTGATTAGAGAGTTTAGGATGCAATTTTTGGGTCATTATTAACTGATAGGACACATCATCGGCATACGTGGTGTTGACTGTGTTAGGATGTCAGCTGTATAAACTGTATAAAGGATAGGATCTAGGATGCTACCTAATTTAAATTTTATCTTATGATGCTCCACAACCAAAATGATTTGATATTAATGTGTTAGAAATTAACATAAGAAATAAATAAAAAGAATTGTTTGTTGTTGTAATATAAAAGTGGGATCATTCCGTGCCATATCTTCCAGGATCCATAACTGACCTCCTCAGATCTTAATGAAAATTGGAAAATATTCGTGGCCTATATTCAGGAAAACAATTGGTGGATCGGAATTGTCCTAAATATAAATGGAGAAGAAGGTGATTATGACATCCTATTTATGCATCCTTCTGGTCCAACTGAAATTATTTTTGGCCTCAAAAAGAAAACAAATGGCCCTTACCACCAGTTCTTCTTCTTTGTTTAATAAGTCCTGCTGAGGTATCTTTTGAATTAGTTGGCTTCTACAAAATTGACTCAGATTTTCGGAGAGATTTTAACAAAGATTAGAACAACTTTTTAACAAAGATAATCTAAGTTTTAAATGGACTATTTTATTTTTATTTGAACTGCTGTATATCTACTTTAGAAATTAAATATTATGTAAACCTTATAATTTTTGTTTAATAAATGTGACCTCCCAGTCAAAATAATAGATCGAGAGGTGTCAGTAACCCTGCGAAAAGACTATGGTTCATTCGCTTTGTCGGATAGGGAAAAATCTGAACAATTTGCTGACTATCTATCATCTGTATTTACACCATTTACTGATTTTACGAACACAGAACATGAAACCATTGTACTAAACACTTTAGATATTCCACTACCGTTGACACTACCACCTCTCTCGTTTACTCCTCAAGTTGCACCGAAAATTGGGTTTATATTGTAATATAACACTTCAAACTCAAAATCCGTAATATGCTTGAAAATTCCATGCTCTTTTCAGTGATATATGGTTATATTAGAATATTTGGAGAGAGATTTAAGCTTCTTCTGTTCATTTTTCCTAAAATTGGTATCTTAAGGTTTTATTTTTTACATATATTGAGCCATTATTCATAAATATGCCGATAATGAATTATATTTTCTTCCATATTCACAATGCAATAGCAAATACAGTACTAATCTAGTTTCAACAAGATTTAACATATATAGTTGTAAACATATTACAACAGGATAAAGAATCCACCTTAGGGATTAATTCATCAGATAAGAAGTGTATCATAGTGACATAATAAACAGGAATACCAAAAGGACTTATTTGCCAACCCAATATTATCATTAAGTTGATTAAAATAAATAAACTAATCTTACTAGTTTGAAAGAGAATTATCACATTTGAAGATATGAAGAAAACATAGCTTTGAAGTGTTCAAGGATCATTTCACGTTGTTCCACGAAAGAAGATACCATCGTAAGCCATGAATGTGGCAACTGCTCTTCCATTTTTGTTGTTAGTTGCATCCAGTAACGCCTTTTTTGCCGAAAACGGACACACATTTTACGACAGATACATGATTATAGGTAAAGTACAGATTCATTCATGTGGTTTATGTGATGATTTATAGTGTCTAGTTTCTTAACTTAAAGTAGGCTACGCAATCTGTATTTACAATATTACATCAAGTTGATTAAACCTGTCCAACGAATTATAATTGCTTCTTAAATCTAGGAACTAGTAAGTACAGTTTTTTATATGAAAAATTCTTTAGGCGCGTTTCACACTTTTTTTTGTGCAGAGTGCAAAATAGCCCTGACAAGTTAGACATGTTTCAATTTTTTTATATATTGTTAAGTATGTAGTGAATATAAAAAAATCCAAATTTCCGTCTTTGAAAGCCTCGTTTGTGGGTTGGATGCAGTGCTCCAAAACCATTGAAATTTCCTACTTTTTAAAAATATTTCAGTAACTAAAATACGGACCTGCATGTTGTAAGAGGGGGAATTGTTCAGCATTTCATCTTATTTGTAATAGGCTATTATTCGTAATTTTATCTTAACGTAACTCGTTATTAGATAGGCGAAAAGGAAAAATATTGTAGAAAACTAAATGATAACGAGTTTGGCTGAACAGACTGCTTAAAATGTCTCAGAAACTAGAAATCGGAACTGCACACTGTAAGATAGGTAAATGCATTTCATCTCCTTTGTAATGGGATATTATTCAAAATTTTATCTTATCGCGACGCCGTGTTACAGAAGCAAGAAGGAAAAAACGGTGACGAAAACCAAATGATAAAGGGTTTTATGGAAGATATGGATTAAAATATCTCATAAACTAAAAATCGGACCTGCATACTGTAAGCGAGGGAAATGTTCTGCATTTCATCCTTTTTATAATGAGAGAAGAGAGAAACACTTTATTTTCATAAAATATAAAGGATTGCTGCCCAATTATATTGGGTTGCTATAAACACAGCATACTCTTCTATCCTTAGGACAATATATGAACTTATATATAAATATACAGAAGTATTAGTTAATATTATTAATCTCGCCTTGGTGTTTCCACTTCTATCGTGTGGTCTGAAGCGCACACAATTTTTTTTTTTTTTTTTACTTTCCTACCTATACTAGGTAAAAAAAGTATTGCAATCGTGTCAAATTTCCGATATGCGGTTTTCGACGGATCTATACGTTTCAGAGCTCCCTGAGTTCGAAAAACACAGTTTTAGCTATTGGTCTGTCTGTCTGTCTGTGGCAAGATTTTCTCTGGAATTACTGAACCGCTACTTTTTTTTATTTTGTAGGGTTTTGATTACTGATGCCTGTGACAGAAATTCGGTGCTCCATGCGCAATAAATGAAAAACATGTTTTCCTACAGACTGTAGCGTGAAAACGGCTCTAACGATTTGGATGAAGCTTTCCTATAATGTTTTAATAATTGTCCTTTCAATTTTCGTATATGGACTATATTCCCGCGAAAATTCAGGAAAAAAGGTTATAAAGAAAAGAAAAATGTTATGGAGCTTAACACCCTAAGTATATATTATACGGTAAAATTCATAATAACACTTCTGAAAGGTAAATAAATTACCAACAAAACAAAAAATCGAATCATCGGAATCGAACCAGTATTAGCGATGGTACAGCTTATTCTATTTTTTAAATATGTTTTAACGCCGTTAGCCTCTTTTTTTTGAAAGGTAATGAAATTCCCTACAATACTATATAAAAATCGTCCATTTTGGACAACTATTAACGAAATAACTGCTATTCAATTTCCAATGTAAGATTACGGGTTCATATCCCGGTGTGAGAAAGGGGTGAATGAGAGAAAAAAGATGACTAAGTGAAAGTAAGAAAATCTGTTGTTATTGTTTGACAATACTAAGCTATGGCAAAAAGTTTTTGATCAGCAATATTAGAGAGTATTGAAATGCTTACACTGATCTACCTTAAGCCGGTTTACATTGCTTTAGTTTATCAAATAAATCGATAAATCTTTTCTTTGATCAATTTTCAGAAAAATAAATCTAGTTCAATTTTGTTTTTGTTTCTTCATGAACATATATAAAGATATAAAAACGTTTCTTAAATATTTAGGAAAGTCGTGTGTGCGGAAACACCAGATATTTTTTTGTTTATCGTAGGGCCATAATGGGACTGAAATTCGTTATTTCTACTTAACCCAACCAAGCTAAAAATTATGCTCAAAGAAAAAAAAAATACATGAAATTCCCAGGAATCTCATCGGTGCAACTAAATGAGCTCGTGAAGTTTAAACAAATTGTGCTTACTGAGGCGTTATTGTGCGAACTAACCGTTTAATTTACATTTTTTTTAACATCAGAAAACTTTGAAAATTTTAACGTAAATTTAAAAACTTAAAAAATTTAAAAACAGACGAACAGGTAGTTACAGAAGTGATTGAAGAGGGGCCGCGCGAGCTGAGCTCCAGAGAATCATTCCCATCTCTTTGTTAGCTGGTAGTAGAAATACTATTTGCCGAAAGAAAGGTGAGATTATATCTTAGCTACTACTACTATAACGTTGTTGTTTTAAGGTCTCTTATCGTGACAAAAAGAAGTAATGTAAAAGTGCTCATAAAGACGCAGGACTCTACACAAAACGAATGAGAGCAGGAAGGAGGAGATGAAATGGCATCAGTTAGACTGATAGAAAAGGCATTCAAGCTTCAAAATAACCTGAAAGGTTTTTTGAAGTAGAATAATGTAGCCTTTAAAATTCATTCCCATATTAACAGCCTGTTGGAAACCTTGACTGACATCATCAGTATGTACTATGATAAAATCAAAGAGTATCGACTGATGATTGAAGATGATTCCGGCTCTTCTGAGAGAAATTTTGAAAGAGTCATTTGTAAATAACGATATTTACAGCACAATAGCTGCCGGAGATACTGAGATGATTGTACCGATGATTATGGAGGAGATAAAAGTCACCGGTGTTGCTTCGAAGCCTGAGTCAACGGCAGTAAATACGATAGATCTGATTCCTGTGGAAGAAGCAATGAAAACATTACAAGTTCAAATAGATTCTGGTAGTTTCCAGTTGATCAGAAGGAAGAGGAAGAAGAAGAAACGCCCTATGATGATCAACAATGATGATAATGAGGGAGAAACTAATGAGAATGAAAAAGCAAAGGAAATACCAAAACTGGCCCTATCAACGAAAACCTTTGCAGATATCATTAAGACTCTGCCATTGAAGCCCTTATCAACTTCAAAACCAACATATTTAACAAATAACTAGACGAGGCAAAACTGCAGGTGATTTAGGATCTACCTTCACCATCTGAAATTGGCGTCACGGCTAAGGTGGTTTGCGTGGAAGATGAAGCGAACGCCACAAAGATTATTGAATAGCAGAGGCTTCAAGAGACTGTCATTGATGCGAAACTGGCTAGAAAGAAGAAGCATAGGATAGAGATAAAAGGAGTACCCTTATCTTGGTATATCACAGCACTGAAAAAAGTATTCTGGTCGAGATTATCTGAAAAAATAGTGCCACCTTGAGAGTACCACACAGGTCTTATAAAGCCATTGTTCTGCATAGTGTTGGCCAAAATCAGTCTTGGTCTTGGTCTTGCACTTTTGCAAGACCAAAACAAACACCAAGACCGCCTTATTTAATGCAAGACCAAACCCTGCAAGACTTACAAAACTGCATGAATGACTCTTTCGGTTTTGCAGTTAAGTCAGGCTGAAACTATTTTCAGATATAGTATGGTGCTTAAACATTTAAATCATGCCTTACATCCAAACAGTGTTGTTTTTTTTTGTTGAATTGTATAATTGAGTATAGCTTTCCAAATAAAAACAAAAAAGTAATCTTTTGCCAGGACCGAAACAAGATAGAAAAAAAAGAAGCGTTTTTATGAATAAAAATTAAGACAAAATATTTACTTATACTTGATTTTAGTTACTTATACCTCTCAGAAGGGGACACTTACGGGAAATCAATAATTGTCCGGTATAGAGGGACGTCCATTTTAGAAAAATCGGAAGAATAACATGATAAAAAAAATAATCTGGTGTGTCCACCCACACGATTTTCCTACCTATTTCAGAAAAGTTTTTATATCTTTACATATGTCCATCAAGAAAAAAAAATGAATTAGATTTATTTTCCTGAAAATTTATCAAAGAAAAGATTTGAGTATGATTTATTTGATAAACTAAAGCAATGTAAACCGGCTTAAGGTAGATCAGTGTAAACATTTCAATACCCTCTAATATTGCTAATCGAAAATTATTTGCCATAGCCTAATTTTGTCAAACAATAATTTCTGTTAAAAGTAGAGGAAATAGTGAAGCTTGTGTGCTGCTGGCAACAGATTTTCTAATTTTCACTAAGTTATGTTTTTTCTCTCATCCATCCATTTTTGACACCAGAATATGTACCCGTAATCTTACATTGGAAATTACATAGCTGTTACTTCGTTAATAGTTGTCCAAAATGAACGATTTTTATATAGTTTTATAGACTTACAGACAGACAGATCAATGGCTAAAAATGAGTTTTTTCCGACTCAGAGGGCTCCGAAACGTATAGATCCGTCGAAAAACGCATATCGGAAATTTGATCCGATCGCAATACTTTCCTTACAGAGTATAGTTCACCGTAACAGTAGAAGAACTCCTTACATCACCAATCCCACTTTCCTTGCCCCCAAAAGCTATTCATCCTTCCGAAGTAAAATTTCAATTAAAAAAACTAATCCTCCGTAAAGCTCCTGGACATGATCTCCTTACACCTCAAATCCTTCGACAACTTCCATCCAAAGCAGTCATATTCCTTACATATATCTACAATTGTATCCTACGTACCACCCACTTCCCTCTGTTATGGAAACACTCCACTATTATCCTCTTCCCAAAACCAGGAAAACCTCTCAATAGCTCAACATCCTATAGACCAATCAGCCTACTCCCAATCCTTTCAAAAATTTTTGAAAAGATCCTTTTGAAACGAATCCTACCCATTATAGAATCCCAAAACATCCCTTCCCATCAGTTTGGTTTTCGCTCTCAACATTCTACTGTTCAACAAGGACTCCGAGTTGTTGATCATATTTCCTCAGCCCTAGAAAACAAGGAATACTGTTCGGGTGCCTTTCTGGACATTGCACAGGCATTTGACCGGGTATGGCACTCCGGACTGCTCTCCAAGCTTAAAATCCATTTACCTCAGTCCTTGTACCTAGTCCTCCGATCCTACCTCTCTGACCGCTCCTTTCCAGTTCGCTGTGGAACAGAATTTTCCAATATCTACTCCGTTAAAGCCGGTGTTCCCCAAGGCAGCGTCTTGGGTCCCGTGCTTTACATCCTCTTTACTGCTGACATCCCTGTTCATCCCGATACTTTTCTTGCAACATTCGCTGACGACACCGCAATCTTATCATCCAACTCTGATCCCGAAATAGCATCCTTAAATCTCCAAAGTCACCTCACCTTGATTGAGCACTGGTGTAATAACTGGCGCATTAAAGTTAATGAATCTAAATGCCAACATATTACCTTTACACTCCGACGCAATTCCTGTCCACCAGTACTCTTTAATTCCATCCAGCTTCCTTATTCAGACACAGTCCGGTATCTTGGCTTTCATTTAGACCGAAGACTAACTTGGAACCCGCATACTAGACTCAAAAGACAAGAACTCAACCGACGATACGGCCAACTATATCGACTACTAAGCAGAAAATCTAAACTTTCCATTGAAAACAAGCTACTGATCTACAAGACAATACTGAAACCTATTTGGACTTACGGACTGGAACTGTGGGGATCAGCAAAATTTTCTAACATCAAGCGCATCCAATCCTTCCAGTCTAAAGTCCTTCGAACAATAGTCGATGCTCCTTTCTATGTATCCAACAAAACCCTACATCATGACCTTAACATCCCATTTGTCCTAGACCTTATCCCACAAAAATTCTCCAAATTTCACCAGAACCTTACTTACCACCCAAATCCTCTTGCACAATCCCTATCAAGCATCTCCCATCCCTATAATCCTCCAAGAAGGTTGAAACGGCAGTGGCCTCGCGACCTTTTGTAGATTATATAAATTGGAGTTCTGGCAATGGCCTGATTCTTCACTCAAGACATGTGTGTATGTGTCTAAAGTGCTCTCGACCAATCTCCGCTGGCTTTAGTACCAGTGACGCGGTTGGGAGAGTAGCGCAGGGTTCTCCTGGAGTTCCCTCGCCTGATTGTATATAGGTATGCATGTGTTTTTTTTTCCTTAGTTTTAATTTTCTTATTTTTTAGGTTATTTTATTTTATTGTCTATTGTATATACTTTTGATTATTATTTTGTTCTATTTATTTTATTTTTTTTTGTACATATGGTGTGAATGTCATCCTACCTCACTATAACCAATGTCCAACAGACAGATTGTTATAATACTCAATAAAGAAATTTAAAAAAAAAAACAGAGTATAGTTAGGAAGTAATAAATTAAATCATGAAAAAAAAAGAGAATACGCTGTATCATCGCTAATACTTCTTCGATTCCGATGATTTATTTTGTTTTGTTGGTAATTTAATTACCTTTCTAAAGTTTTATTATAAATTTTACCATAGAATATATACTTAGCGAGTTATTCTCCAAAACGTTTTTCTTTTCTTTATAACTTGTTTTCCTGATTTTTTCGGGTATTTAGTCCATGTACGAAAATTGAAAGGACAATTATTAGAACATTATAGGAAGGTTTCATTAAAATCGTTACAGCCGTTCGCACTACAGTCTATAGAAAAACATGTTTTTAATTTATTGCGCAGATGCTATTGCGCATGGATCACTGAAATACAGTCAGAGGCACCAGTAGTCAAAACCCTACAAAATAAAAAAAAGAAGCAACAAAATCGGTTTAGTAGTTCCCGAGAAAATCTTGGCACAGACAGACCAATGACTAAAAATGTGTTTTTCGGACTCATAAGGTTCAGGAGGGGAGAGGGGGGAAACGTATAGATTCTTCGTTAACCGCATATCGGAAATTTGACCCGATCACAATACTTTCCTTACCTAGTATAGGTAGGAAAGTAAAAATAGAAAACTAAATTTGTATTTCATAATTTATAAATCATGAAAATAAATTCGTTTATTCGATTAAAAATATCTTTTTTTCTAAATTACAATTTAAATATATCTTTATGGGGAAATATATATATATATATATATATATATATATATTTTATAATAAAATTGCACATATGAAACGAAATCTTGTTTGTATTAGTTAGTGTTTTGGCCAAGTATGTATTTTTTTTTTATTTGTTAATCATTGTAATCCTGAAGAGATTTTGTCAACCAATATTCAGGCAGACCCAGATAGGATCAGTGCCTGGGCAAGTCTGAATAATTTAAATCTGAACGCGATGAAAACTCAGGCCATTATTATAGGTTCCAGATCTATACTTAAATCCATCTCCTTCCTTCCTCCTTTAGTCATCAACGATCATCCTACCATATTCAGCTCCTCCCTTAAAAATCTAGGAATCACCATTGACGAAAACCACTCTTGGTTTTCCATTTTTTTTTTTTTTTTTTCATAATTGTTATTCATAATGGACCTCGTCCCAGAATAAAGTTTATTTTCTATGTATCTATCTAAATAACAATTATAAACTTTGTGCAACGAGTAGTACTATTAAATGAAAAGTTGTATAGTTATTAAAATAGAGGTTGGTCCACCATTGGGCGGACAGGGGGTATTTCCCTAGTACTTATAAAAAAAAATGTATATACATTATTGTTTCCAATTTAACAACTCATAAACGTACGAACTATAACTATAATGTGTATTCCAGTACTTAGGAACCAAACTTTTTTTGAGATGCAATTAAAAAAAAATGATGAATTGATAAATTAATTGTGTCCCTGCTGATATCTATGATACAGGATATGGAAAGATACCCGTTGGGGCGACCAGGTGTAATGAAAGGCAGTGTTGTCCGCCATTTTACCATTGCTGCTTGTTGTATGGTGCCTGGGTGAATTGCTGTATCTATAATTCAGACAAGTAAGATTTATGTTAATAAAACATTTTTTTAAAAAATCAAAAAACACTTATAAATTACATAAGTTTATTTAAACTTTGTGTTTTTTTTTGTTTTGTTTTTTCAGGAGTACGCCACCGTTTCGATGTTAATAACGTAAAATTAAGAATCCTTAATGTGTTCCTGTTTTTAAATCGTCACTTCATCACATTCATTGTTGAAGATTTGTATAAATCCGAAAACTATTACAATAATTGTTTTTTCATTATTTTCATAACAAAAATATAGATGAGTTATGTGATTTTATGATGTGTTCTTCTGATATTGAATTGTTTATTTATTTTTATGAATTGTTTATGAATTTATTTATTTTTCTTACAGTACTTAAACTGAAGTTCTAATGTCATATGTTATGAGAAAAACACTTACAGGCGTTATTATTTCATATATGTTTTGCTATTTCCTATTGAAATGCCCGACATGCTCTTGTGAATACGCTTGTTCATAGAGTTAACGGATCGGAGGCATTGAAGACTTTATAAATAATATTTTTATTCATAATGTATGTTACCAATAGTATCTAACATACTGAAATATATTATGGATATATGGATTGACTACAAGAGTTCTCTCCGGGTTTTCTAGAGTGTGACTTCAAGAATGTAACTGCAAGAGTCCAGAGGACCATGGGGGTGGCGATCATGATGGTAAGAGCGGAAATCTGGTAGGCATGGGAACGGCTGCGGTTATTAACATTCGAAAGGTTTTTATAAATTGATATTGTTATTCTTTAGTATTAATATGAGAGAAATTGACCCTTTGGTTAAATCTGTTATTGTCCCTTAAGTCTTGATAATGGGTCTTGTGTCCAGTCGGTACATTCTAGATAACTATTTCTAAGCTATCAGAGATAGCTTGACTTGGCTAGGGAGAGAATTGTCAATATAATACATGATTCACCAATTGGCATATTTAACATACTCAATTATTTTTAAAAAAAGTTAAATTAATATTATTATTTTAAAATCTCACACTTTCTTGGCTTTTGCCAGAAATATTCACCTACCCGGACCAAGGTTAGGGTTAGGCTCAAAAGTTGAACTATGCTTAAGAACATCCTGACGATTTTTGCTGTGCCTAAGAGAACTGCTTTTTGCCCTTCTTCCAAACTTTCTCTAGCAGCTTCAAATTTTCTACAGAGCGAATGGGATGAGGCCATTGCTGGAAATCATAATTGGATATACCTAGACTTGATTCAGTTTGTAAAGTTGCCGAAGCTCTTGGCACAAGTCTTGATATTTCCTAATCTTTTCAGAAATAGTCTTTCCGATATTATCATCGGTTGGGACCGCTATATCAATGACGTACCCACTTTGTTTCTTCCACGGGCGGATCTACGGGGGAGGAGGGGGGGCTTTCGGGCTGAATCCCCCCCCCCAAAATGGTAAAATATAACCATGTTTTATCGGAAAAAATACTAAAAAATTATCTCTTAAAGTATAATTATTCGTGTAATTACATTTAAAAGGGCTTTAGGAATCACTTAAACACCAGTTCGTATAGGTACTTAGTTTCTTTCGTATTTTCCAAAGTAATTATCGTTACTTTTATGAAAAAAAAAGCTTTCGGGCTGAAGCCCCCCCCAAAATTAAATCCTGGATCCGCTAGTGGTTTCTTCCGATCAACTAATACGATTTCCGGTTTGTTATTAACTATCGTGTGGTCTGTAATTATAGATCGATCCCAATATATTATTCTATTTTCTTTTGATAGCACCGGTTTGGAATCTTATCGATGATAAGGAACCTCATCTGTTTTCATGTTATTTAATGAGTCTTGGTGAACAATTTTAGCCAGGTTATTGTGTCCCATTAGATATTCTTTACCTGCCTACGCTTGACATACCGACGAAATATGTTGGATTGACTCTATAGCATTTTTACATAGGCGACGTCGGTCACTTACATTTTCTCCTCATATATATTTTTTGTAAGCATTGGGGGGGATACTACCTGGTTTTGTATTGCCAAAATAAACCCTTCAGTTTCGGAAAATAGGTACCCTTTCTTAAGCCATTTATTAGAGGCCTTCCAGTTAATTTCCGATTGAGATAAAGCATTGTAAAAACGACCATGTAGTGCTTGTTTATTATTTGTTACGGATTACGTCCATTCCGTAACTACTCTCCCCCTTAAGCACGAAGCCTCTGAGTGCAATGTATGTCAGTTAGAATAGGTTTTTGGTCTTCTTTAGTATTCTAAAGGAAAGTCTGGGTATATGAAGGATTGGTTCCATAGGATTGGGAACAGTTACATTTTTTCTTACAATAACACTTAATCTAAAAAAGCTAATAATATAAAATTATAATATTGATATACAGTTATTAAGAATAGAAGAAAAAGCAAGGTTGGAAACAAGAGGGTTCGGATGGTTCAGAAGTTTATTATGGAAGGATAGGTATCTGGATTGAGCTAAATCGGAAACATATGGTACATTAAGGTCGTAATGGATGATTTCATTTGTGACAAAGTAGGGAGTGTTGAGGATTTTACGAGGGATTTTGGATTGTGAGGATTTTTTTTTAAATAAATTTTATTCTGGGACAAAGTCCCCTCAGAATGATATTGACGAAGAAATAATATATCTGGCCATTTACTAACTTAATACAGTTTTTCTAATAATATATACAATGATTTAAATAATGATATGTAAAAAAATGAAAGAAATAATAGAAATAAAGTTTTATCAATAATGTTTATGGTTGTAATGTGTGAAAAGGCGAAAATACATAAATAACCTAATAACATTATTTGTGTAAATAATATTAAAATAAAATGACTCTACATATAAAAATTTAGACGTTTAAGATTGCAATAGTTTCTGATTAATTATCAAGTTTTAAATAAATATTTTCCTAAATTTAAAAACGTTTTTCTTAATTGTTCTTAAATAAAATAACATTTATTAAAGGATGAAATTTACAATACATTATTTATAAACATATACAGACAATCCAATTCCATTAATCATTTCTATTTCTAATAATTTACACTTTTTTTATCATATATAAATTCATTATAACATATTAACTAATTTTTCAATTTTTTTAAATACTCACTCATTTATAATAAAATTTGAAATGAAAATTAATACTTTCAATTTATAACCTTTTTTACACAGTATATACAACATAAAATCATTCCTAGCAACTCAAATATATTTTGTGAAGATTACTAGATTCTAACAATTATTTATACATATTCAAGCCATATTAAAATATGTCATTATTCCACTTATTCTTGACTTTGGTAATATATCATTATTAATATTTCCCCCTTTTTTTTATATAATTTAATTTATTAAAATTAAATTAAATTAATGTTTTCATTATTATGATTATTATCCATAAGTTTATATCTTTAATATTATTTATTTATTATTATGTTCACGTGTTACTTATTTTTTTCGAATTGAATTTATATTTATAAATATTATTTATACTTATAACTAAGTAGTATTTATTTATATTTTTGTAATTTTTCATTTTATTACGATTTCTATTTATTATTGTTTAAGATTATATTTATAATTTCGCTATGAGACTAAATTTATATACTTTTTTATTTATTATATTATAATTTAAAAGCCTTACAAGAGATTTTCGAATATTAATAAATCAAATCTTGGACCACCGATTGTTGAATTTTGTTTTCATCTGGCTTCAACACCCATAAGTAAATTTGGTCATCGTCAGTAGGTCATCTATTGATATATTTTATTTTGGATTTTAACTTTTTTGAAACGTTTCCAATGGTTAATTTTTTTCTATTTGTTTATCATTTTTCCTAAACCGTGAACATTTCATACACTCTTTCTTAGCATTAAGCATTAAGATATTCTTTATTTTTGTTTGATTTTGAGCCGAAGATCTTTTTATCTCTCTACTGTTTGACAGTACACAATTTTTACTGTCAACAATATTTTCAATATTTGTGACAGACTCTTCAGGTATAATATAATTTTTTAGGTGGAAGCTTTGTTTTGGTCATTGACGATCTAATGTATAATTCTTAAGTTTTTCTTGGAAATTCGAGATTTCCACTAAATCTTTACTTGAAATTAATTCTTTTTGATCCAAAAATTTTGTATTGTCATTCAAAGGCGGAATAATGATATTTCAATTACTGTTCAGATTGTTGGTTAAGTTTTCTCATAGTTTTCTTACTTTCGTAAAATTGTTTACTTTTTTATAATATAGTACGGTTTTTCTTTTTCCTTTTAGATAGTGAAATATTTTTGGTTTTTATTTTTATTTATTCAGTTTCAAAATTAACGTATGTTTTTCTTGTGTTTGAATCGAGGCAGTCTTGTCTTAGGTGTCAATATTTTCTGCGCATTATAGACATGGAATTCCATTTTTTTTTCATTCGTTAAGTTTATCAAATATATATCATCTTGTGGAATGGGTGTTTGGTTCCTTCTATGAAAAGGAAACCTCGTTTCCTCAATCCGTTTTCCTATTATTTTTTTTTAGGTCTTTCTTCAACAGGATTTTTGTAGAACTGTGGTTCATATTCTATTTTATAAATCGGTTGACTATTTAGATGAGAATTAGTAGTTCTCATTAGTCATTTTTAGTTCTCATTAGCCCAATTCCTCCGGCGATGCCAATATAAGGTTTAGTATGTGTTGTGAAATTATTCTCATTGTAAGAGGGTATCTGATAATGGTTATATTCTTGTTTTGAGATTCCCCTATACCTCGAATCATTATATATCAATTCATCAAATAATAAGTGGTATTTTGCATAATGTACCTTATATCATCCAGATTCTTTAATTTAATCATTTTTGTCATCAAATAGGTTCTAACATAGAGGGTCATATTGCTACAAAAAAGTAGCATAATTTGTTTTTCGAGACAATAATAGGATCGCGATCAGAGGTATTCTTATCGAGGCGTTTTATGCAATTACGAGGAAGCTCCTTATGGCCAATTTTAGTGTTATGTAATTCGTTTGTTAATTTCTCGATTGATCTAAAATCTTTAAACTTCTGCTCAAGTTTTTCTGATAAATTTTCGATTTGTTTTTAAATTCAAATATCGTACTAATGTACTTAGCTTCCTCGGTGAGGCGAGATAAAACTTTGGAAAGCAGTATTTTTTCATTAATATTTCTAAAAGAGTTAGTTTCATCACAAACGATATTTTTAACACGTCTTACAGCGGTTACAAACTTTAATAAATTATGCGGTTTAACATTAAAGTCTGGTATGTGACCATAGTCCACGGAATTTATTTGGATTGATGTCATTTTAAAACAATTTTTAAATACTAACTTTACCACAAAATACTTCAATTAAACTTCAATAGCCTATTCTTAGGTAATTATTGAATTACCTTTTTAACAATCAATAATTCCATGGAATTCCAAAATATAAAATTAAACATAATAATTCCAAAATAAATAACCATTACAAATAAAGTTCTTACTGCGGTGGTGCTAATGTTTCTTCGATTATTATTTATTACGGATTAGGTCCATTCCGTAATTAAACCATCCATCACGAAACTGTAGGACTTTGTGAAATTAGAGACGCATCCACACAGGAAGCGATATTTACGTACTCCAACAGTTGAAAACAGAATTATTGCTCTTCTAAACTATAGCAATAACTTTATTATTTCATGCCTTCAAAAGAAATAGAAATCCTCCAAAACGTTTTATTTTATGTCTTCAATTATAATTTGTCTAAGGGTGTTTGGTTTGTGCCATTTGGTGCAATTTACAGGTAGTGTTGTCCAAATGCAAGAGTCTTGCAGTTACATATTAGCTTATTATGCTTATTACATATAAAAATTAAGACAAAATAGTTACTAATACTTGACAATTTTAGTTACTATGTGTAAAGAATTGGTATAACCAATATACTTTTGCATTTAACTCCTCTAATTTTTCATTCGGGCTTAGTTAGGTTTCTTCATTCCAAAAAATTACTGTAATATCTCTATAGCAATAAGCTAAGAAGTAACTGCGAGACTCTTGCGCAAGACCAAGACCATGACCAAGACTGAGTTTGCAAGACCAAGACTCACTTGGGCGACACTATTTAGAAGATTTGTTTAATAAGCTTTTTTACAAATTAAATAATTTTTTTAAAAATGTTATCACTTCATGCTATAGAGGTATTACTCTCATTTTTAAAATGGGGAAACCTAACTAAACCCCGAATGAAAAATTAAAAGAGTTAAATCCAAAAATATGATTGTTTCTACCAATTCTTTACATGAAAAGTTTGCTTTAATTGTTATTCACAAAACTTTTTTTTACAAGTTTTAGTCTTGGTCTGGCAACAATTAGTCGGTTTTAGTCTTTGAAAAACAACTTTACAGTACAAAGACCGATTATGGACAACACTGTATAGAGGGTCCTAAATTTCAGCTGATTTTCAGGAGAATAGATAATAGAGTCCTGGAGTTATAACAATTTTTGATATTTAAGAAATAAACAATCGAATACTGGTCTTTAGTACAAAATTTTGTTTTTCAATTTATACGAAAATTCGTATTTAAGATTTTTTTCAGGTAAGCAATATAAATTTAAATTTTGTGTCTCCTTAAAAATCATGTGAAATTACTTTATTCTGTCGATCGGAACAGATCGTTTTAATATCATACTAATACTACAGCTGTATGCCAAAAATATTTTTTCTTTCTTAACCAGGTGGATTATCTTCAGTAAGATCAGATGCACAAAGCTGGTAGGTTGTCACAATTTAGTCCAAAAATAAAAATAATGTATTGTAGATATAAAACACGAAAAACCTATGAAATATTGTACAAACAGTTTTTATTTTTCGATTCTAATGGATATTATTTTTCTGCAACAATGTTACATCGATCAATAAATTACAATAGAAAAATAAAAATTGTTAGCTCGATATTTCGCTTGTTTGCACCTAAAAGATATATTTAATAGGATCCAGATGTGTTTTTTGTGTTTACAATAAAAGGATAATTCTTGGGATTTGTATTTTGAAACCAGGAAAAAACCTTTAAATCATAATTTTAATACAGCAATTTTTATTTAAAAATAATATTCTTGGCTTTATTAAGGCTAACAATTTATAACAATATCTCTAATAAAAGACACAACGTCTGAAGAAACATATAAGTAAAATATTAAAAATTTATTTTAAGAAGATTAAAATATTATTTCCTCACAATATGCACCTATAATTTTTATAATTGGTCTTTAATTATTCTATGTTTGAATTCCCTTCCAACCGAAAAATCCGCTTACTGAGTTAACCATGTCTTTAATAGCAGGAGTTGGATCAGGAATTTTATGTAAAAGGTCAGAATACCATGACTTCATTTGATATTCAGATGTGAGATGTACTCCGTCATGCTGGATGTTGATATCGCTGAAATAAAAATATAGATAAATTAATAAATGATTAATTATTTAATCAGATCTTATAATTAGGATTAAATAATAGTTTTTATTTAGGTACAATAGAATCTCTCTCACTAAAGGGCAATAAGCATTGGTGTTCTATGTGTCCTTTCATAAAGAATAAAAATATATATATAATAATAAATAAATTAAAAATATAATTAAAAATAAAAACAAAGATGAAAAATAAATGCACATAATGAATAAAGTAATATTGAACAGTAAAAAAAAAATTAAAATGTTGAAATAAATATCGAACTGAGTTCTAATAATAAAATGCTAAGGGCTATTTTATAGTTTAAGCACACCAGTGATTTTTCATCTCTCTGACAGAGCGTTGCATTAAGATACGATTTTATAATAATAGCTCATTGCAAAGAAGATGAAGTGCTGAATATTTATCTATTGAACAGTATGCAAGTCCGATTTCTGGTTTCCGATAAGTTTCTGAGATAATTTAATTCATATGTTTAACCGAACTCGTTAAGATACAATTTTGAATAATAACTTATTACAACAAAGAAAAAACATTTTTAAATATTTCCTTTCCATAGAGTATGCCGGTCAGATTTTTATATTTTGAGATAATTTTATTCAAATGCAAAAACACTTCAAAAATTCACTGGTGTGCTTAAAATAGAATATAGCCATGCTAAGAGAAAAAGTTAAGTGTTAAAATTTTTCATTTAAAAAAAAATCGATAGTTTGTTAGAAAATTACTATTATAGGCATTATTCGATTTGGCTCTTTTTACTTTCCCTTACCTATATATGTAATATATAGTAAGGGAAAATATATAGTATTGCGACCGTAAAATTTTTCGAATCTGTGAGTGTGAACAGCGTAGCTCAAAAACGTTTTACAAACTGATATTATATTAATTAAACTCGGTATATCAGTATTTTATTAAGTTGGTTTTGATATCAGCTAGGTCTTATCCACATTTATGTCATTTTACAGGGCTTAAATGTACAATGTTCATATACGTCTTCCCCTAAAGTAACTTTAATTTGATTTATTTAATAAAATTAACCCCTATTGACAGTAACTATAAAAAATGGCTAAACATAAAGTATTAAAAAATTTGATAATTGGAAACTGGAGGAAAAAGAGAAAAGGATCATTTAAGTTGAAAATGAATCTCTGGAAATATTAGTCTGAAAGCGGAGAATCTTGGAAAAAACAATATCTAATATAGAAAGTTGTACAAGGTAACGGAGAGTGCCGAAAAAGTAATAAATTATAATTTGCGAAAACTAATATTATTTAACGGAAACCATATGTTTCCAAGGAAATTGAATGACATTTGCTTATTAAATGTAAAATTTTAAATTGTTTTTAAATTTCAGAAAAGTATTTCAAATCTACCGAATCAAGCCAATGACATAGTTAAAAAAACTATTTCATAGAACTTTCGTGAAAGAATAAGTTAAATATAAAAACACATTTACTTTTAGTGTTATTGTTTTTTCTGTATTATTTATTTTTATTTGTTGTTGATAGAGCGTGAGTGTGCAATCTGAACACTGTTATAAATGTCCTTATTTGTGACAGATTGTAATATCTCTCAATAAATATAGTTTAAAAAAAATATATAAAAATATTTCATAGATGGGTAAAGAGCATATGCTTATAACCTTAAATACATTTACTGTAGTCTAATAACTCTAGATCTGTTATTATATTTAAATAATTAGATAAACATCGTTGATTTATGCCGAAAACATTTCCTTTTGTAAAATAACAACATTATACAATTACAATTATTGTGCCGATTTTTTATTTAACTATGCTATATTTAAAAACAAGTAACTGTATTTTGGTATATTTTCCAAGGGTAAAAAAAAAAAAAGAATTTAAATACATGTAAAAAGTGATAGATATTTAATAACTTTCAAATCTCTCTTAGTCTATACAGGTCAGAGACTGGAGTTATGTGATTCAAATAGACTAATGGAGTTAAATCTAAGATTTTTATAGGCTACAATCTATATTATAAATAGGGTTTATGTTATTGTGACGGTCTCAATGAGTTTTTGAATTGATGAATACGACCAAAATTCAAAAATATGTTGTTTAAAGTTTAGCTGATTAAAAAATGCACTACGAAAACTTCATGTAATAACCCAATTTTGCCAGAAAAGAATCGCTTTTCGAATTTGAATGGTAAGTGAAAGTTGTATGATGTGCGCAAATCAATTTTGAATAAAAACATATAATTTCTTTTGTACTGTTTACATACTTGTTAATAACTATTGTTACGTAGTTATAATCTCATTTTCAAATAAGAGAATAAATAAATACAAGTTTTTCACCAATGACAAATAAAACTGATAACATTGAACGTATGTATTTATTTATTAGTAAAGTGTAAACAACAAAAAATTATATTTTACTGATGATGGAGGCCAGTAGTCTTCTATGTTTTCGGTAACAGTTAAAAACAATTTAGACCAAAGTAATATGTTTTTATTGAAAAGTGATTTGCGGTATCGAAGTTAAAAAGATTCTTTTTTCTTCCTTGTTACAAATTTCGACAAGTCGGGGAAAACGCCGTAAATGAAGGAAGATTTATTTCATACTTCGGATTCAAGATGAAATTTATTTTAATGGCTCAGTATCTTCAAAATTCTGTCTATTTCGCCGTCACGATTAAATAGACCATGATTTTCCATCACCAAATTTAAAAAAAAAAATTCATTCATTAATTCAAAAAATAAAGTTTAATCAAAAGTAATAAAATACTCACCCTGGAACAATATCTAACGGAACAGGAGGAATCGTACTTCTCAAAATGAAGGCTTCAGTTACGGCGACCGTGATGCAAAAAACTCCAAACTGAAATCATTCATCGGCGTTATTTATCATATAAATATATAAATAAAATGAAATAAATATAGCATATATATTACTAATAGAGCTGTCGTCTTCATCTTGGAAAGGAATGCCTCTGTCAGATTACTGGAATAACACGTTGGGGAACTTATATATAGGTACAGGTCCTATTAAAGATTCATTAGGTTCACGACATTAAGGAATAGATATAAGATTAATGCCGAGAACAAAGAAGATTTGTGTTGCCTCGTAAAATATTTTTATTTTAAAGAAAGGATGATCGATTTCATTTACATATTTCTACTGTTGGTCAACTGAAATTATTCTTATCTGTTTCATTTTTCAAACGTTCATAGTGTTACTATTGAATATTTTAACCGTCTTAATTAAATTAATTAACATTTTTGATATCAGTGACATTTTTCAACCAGTTTTATTACAATTTTAAAGAAACGGAAATAGGGATTTTCACTTTTCCGTGAAATTTCGTCTCTTTTGGCATTTCATAGGTTTATGATACGGACTTATCCGGATTTTCATTAAAAATAAAAAGCTAAATGTGTACATATATTCACGGGCAGGTCTACGGGGGAGAGGTGGCTTTAGGGCTGAAGCCCCTCCTCACAAATGGTAAAATATAATCATGTTTTATGGAAAAAAATATAAAAAAATTATCTCTTAAAGTATTATTGTTCGTGTAATTACATTTGAAAGGACTTTAGGAATCAATTAAACACCATTTCATATAGGTAATTGGTTTCTTTATTTTTTTCCGAAGAAATTATCGTTATTTTTATGATAAAAAAAAAAAAAAAATCAGGCTGAAGCCCTTCCCTCAAAATTAAATCCTGGATCCGGTATATTTGCATATATTTATGTATTTATTTTTTCACAAATACGTGACATATATGAGAAGTAAGTGAAAATAGAAATCCTGAAAGTTCATGAAAAAAGTTGATAAATTATATGTATTAATTGAATATTAAAGACAGAAGCAAAAACTGAATTAAAAACTACTTAATGATTGAACAGGATTATGAGTAAAATAAAATGTATGTATTTATTTTTATTAAAGTTAATGTGAATACAGAAAAAATAAAAACAATATAATTAACTGGTCATGGAATAATCAAACCCACAAATTTGATTTTGATAAAGTACGAATGTTAAATAAAGCAAATAGTGGAAAAATATGAAAATAAATAACTAAATTTATATTACAAAAAAAATTTAATAAGTTATAAAATGGTTGTAGAAAATATATGACATTCTTATGTTGACATAATTGCTAAAGCTAATACTTTATAATTAAAAAGTAATAATTAAAATCTGTAGAAATATAAGGCCTATTTAATATGTAGCAATACTTTTATAATCAACATTTAGAAAGAGGCATAAAATCCTATATATTATTTCTCAAATATATATCCCTTTTCCGGCTCTCAGAAGTGATGGATTTTTAGGATGATGTATCAATAGAAAGGGAATATCACGTAGAGTGCGCGAATCGTAATTTTGATTAATAATTTTATACCTGTACTTGAATAAAAGTGAATGTAAAATGGGAGGTTTCAAAACGGATGATGGTGAAGCCTCAACGAATCGAGGCGTTACAAATGGAGTCATAATTAGGGAATAACTCGAAAAGGACACAAGTTTTGGCCCATTATGCACATGAGTATTTAGAAGCTTTTAAATTCCCTACAAAACGTTAAAAAAAATCATCGAAATCGGACTGTGTGGTGCAAAGATATAGCGTTCTAAACATTTAGCATTAATTCTACTTTAAAGATCTAAAGATTTAAGATCATAATATTTATAAACTGATAACTTACTAAATAAAAGTATTAAACCTTTGCTTAGAAATATTACTAAAAGGAACTTATGCTGAGCCCTTAATGTATTGGAATCAGATAAAATATAAGGTTTGTGCGACGTATTCGGACGGGTCGGCTAATATTCTGAAATGCATAATGAAATAGAATGGATGCAATTAGACATAAGCATAGATGGGCATGCATGCCTAATTAACAATTAGGATTACAGTAATCATGATTACGTGATTAAAGTAATCATTATTACGTGATTAAAGTAATCATTATTACGTGATTACAACGGTTACCAGTTATAACTGTAATCTGGTAATCTTGTCACATTTTTGCTATATTGAATCAAGTATAAAATTGGCATAGTCATTAAGTTTTAATCATGTAATCATTTATTCCGATTTTCTCCATCTCTGGATATGGGTAATATATATTTTTATGTAGTCTTCAATATGTTTAAATCGAATAATTTAATAATAATTAAATATTTAGTATTATTTACAGTGATTAATAATAATAACAAAAGATGACAGGATATTCCAGGAAATAAAATGGTGTCAAGTCAATTGGCAATAGCTAATGGTTGTCAAATATTTTAATAATTGCAAGAAAAGGTAAGAATGCAATAGTAAATTTTTGCATTTTCGCAATTCAAAAATTAGAGAGTGGGTTGTATTATTAGTTTGAAATATAAATCTATTTAAGTTTGGCAATTATGTTGTATTAAATCAGGTATCTTCAAACTTTTTGGTCCGCGGACCACATTTTGACCAGGGCTTAAAGTGATAAAAAAAAAGCTCGTTCTATAAAATAGTGCAGTCTGCCTTAATAACAATTTTAAACACTTCAGAATCCTGATTTAAATATTCCATTGCAGATTTAAAACTCTGGAAATAAGTGTTATGCACGTCAAGAAAGGTGTGCAACTGTTCAATTAAAACAAGGTCTAAAGTATTGAAATTATTAATTAACCCTTGTTATCATTTGCTCACAAATGCCAGAAATGAAATAAATCTGCAGTAAGGAAGAAGCCATGTTTGGAGGTGGTAATAGGGAGCCACTATGGTGATAGACCTGGCCTTGCACTTTAAACATAAGCATAAATCCTCCATCAGAGGTCACCTCGTTAGCACCAAAATAGATCATTTGAAAAACACTATTATACCCCTTAATGGCTCAAAAATTCACGTGATTTGGGATATTCGTTACTAAGGAGGGAAGCAAGAGGTTCTGGTGCCTCGTTGATTCGAGGTAGAACAATCTTCCCAGATACACCCTTAGATACCCTACAACATATACCCTTAGATCCACTTGTCCACGTTAGGGCGGAACAAAAATGACTAACCGAATCCATTGGCCCTACACTGGCCGCACCACCATAATCGAATAGGAGAACCTGCTATTCTTTTTTCCCCGCCATTGCTTTTTGATTCTTATGTTTCGTTCTACAGTTATAGACTCCAATTCTCTGGCTATGTGATGCCTTTCAGCGTCCGATGAAACACGTGATGTACGCTAATCATTCGTATCATTCCCTCGCCTTATTGAAGCGATTCTCTCCTGTTCCTTCTCAAAACTTAAATGTTGACGGTCAACGCTAATATGATATCTTGCCCTAACCTGGGCAAGCCTTGCCTCCCTCTCCTCCTCTTTCTCTCATTTACGCCTCAGTGCTTGACCCTCTCTATCAACTTTTTGCCTTGCCCTCCATTCCTCTTCTGTCTCCTTCTCTCGAAAAGAAACATGTCTCTTTCTATCACTCTCCATTCTTAACCGTTTCAGCTCCTGACTTTCCCTTCCCCTTATCAGTGAAGCTTAATTTATTTTTATCAAGCCTTGCTTTTTTTTTGGGACTCAGACTCTTTCAATCACTCAGCCACTTTACGATTCTTATCTCTAGCAAATCGTGAAACTCTCTCAAATTCAAGGGCTGTGGAACCCGTCCAGGGATCAGAATGTGCAAAGTTTGGACTACTGCATCCAGACGGGTCAGATGTGTTGGGGTTAAATTTAGCAGCACTCGTAGAGGAGCCAGGTGAATTGTAGTAATAAGAGTATGTAGTATATTGAGTCGATTGGACACTTAACAATGAGTCCAAAACATCATACTCATGCTAAAGAGCCAACGCGTGTGCTCTTGACGAATTACCAGAATCAAGAGGAGTGCTCACTCTTTTTCGCCTAAGGGTATCTGTGAGTCCAGTTTCATTTTTGATCCAATCATTTCTCACTCTGTCCTTTTTCCTCACATTCATCATAAATCTTTCTTCCTCATTTTGTCACATCTGGATCTTCCTCTCTCGAGATTTTGTCAATGACCAAGCTTGGCATCCAAAAGTAACCATTGTACTTATACAACCGTCTAAGACCTATTCTTTCACATTTATGTTAATAAAGGAATAAGGGAATAAAAAAATAAATACAAGATTTTACATCAATAACGTGAAAAATTCTAAAACATTTCCAAAACTGTTAAAACTTATTATTGATGAGATGTTAGTTGGAGATTGGAATACAAATGGAAACACATACAAATAAATTATATTTATTATCTTTGTGCTCACATTTCGGCCTAAGTTTCAGGCCATCAGTAGGGCTAAGCAAAGACCAGGTAACAAGTAATTACTGAGAAAATATTAGGCAATAATAATAATATGATCTTGTATTTCATAAGTACATAAGTTCCTAACCGTTATTTTATATATTCTAACTTAGTTATTGTTATTTTATAAGTCCCAGCTTTATCACGGTTACTTTATAACTTCCTAAATTTATATATCATCTATTTCTCATTCCAGATATTTATTAATTTGAGTTTAAATAACTACATTTATATATTATTTATTAAAGTTAAGTTTAAATAGTTACATAATATTTATTCATATGTTATTGAAAATAAAACTGTATTTTAACATACCTATATCTTTGCTATTTCATTTCTTAGTTATCCTTATTTTGTCAGTGTTTACTTTATTTCTTAGTTACCATTACTGCCTATGTAATTTGTAAATTCCCTCACATGCCACAAATTTTCTATTCATTAATTATTAATTTTATTTTTCACTACTTATATATACTTTTTATCGAATATTTTCATGCGTTATCTCATAGTTCATTATCTTCTTATATCAGAATTTTAAAAATGTGCTACTTATCATAATTTGTTATAAATATTTT